ATTTTCTGTCTCTCCATGTCTTCCTTTTTAAAATGTAATATAGAAATCCATGTAATAGTGAAAAGTTCAATACATTTTTATTTCATGTAGTTATTTTTTGAAATTTCCCAAGTGGTGTCAGAAGGTCCGGGAGCCCCACTGGTGATTCTTGGCCAACCATGAATCATGAACAGTGGTCCAATGTGAGGATGGTGTTTCTCAGACCCTGTGGTGTTGGGAATCACCTAGGCTACTGGGTGATGCTCAGTAGACTTCAGAACTGTACCTGGATAATCTTTTGTACTAGGCATTGAACCCAGACTGGGCACAAGTTACTAGGTTTGCACCCTAATAGCTCTCCTATTTCTTAGCCTCCCAAATATAACAGCTTAAAAATGATTTAAATAATAGCACTGTAGCACTGTCCTCCCATTGTTCATTGATTTGCTCAAGTGGGCACCAGTAATGTCTCCATTGTGGGACCCGTTGTTACTGTTTTTGGCATATCAAATACGCCATGGGGAGTTTGCCAGGCTCTGCCGTGTAGCTGGGATACTCTCAGTAGCTTGCCGAGAGGGATGGAGGAATCAAACCTGGATCAGCCAGGTGCAAGGCAAAAGCCCTACCCACTGTGCTATCGCTCCAGTTATTATTTTTTATTAAATAATAACTATGATAAAGTAGGACAAGTGAAAATTATGGTGAGAAGACATTCACTGGGGTTACCTGCAAGAATCCAACAGTCCTAAGAAAAATCTGGTGTCCCACCCCGTCGGCCCCCAGGCCATACGCCTACACTCAAGAAGAAAGGGGAAAAAAGCATTTTTAATGATCTCAATTTGTTGTCTTCAATTTTTTCTAGTATGAAGTCATTAGGACAAGAGAAAGAACTCAGGACTTACTGTGAGATCTTGGCAAGTTGTTTAATGTGTCTCTGCTGTTTCATCATCTGAACCTCTTTACTGAGTTACACAACAACATAGAACACTTAAATTCATATTTTATCACTTTTTGTTTCATATTATTATTGTCTGTTCTTTTAATTTGTCCTTAAAATGTCTTTTAAAAATACCCACAAACTTTATTATTTATGCATGAAATGTTTATTTGGATTGCCTCAAAGTTTTCCAATTTATTTATTGACTAGTTTTATTGGTCCCCAGACTTCCTGACTTCCTTCTGATATTACCCCCTTTTCTTTTTCTTTCTAGAGTACAGACATCATAAATTCCTTTAGTGATAGTTCAGTGGATGGCAAAGTTTTTTCTTAACTGAAAATGTCTTGAGCTCTTAATCTCACAAAGAAGATTTGCTAGGCACACAATTTGCGGTTGAGAAGATTAAAAAAAAAAATCTAAGATGCTTCAACATCCTTTAGTTTGGGCCCTTTTGTTCTCAGATAGGCTGATTTTCACGAGAACAAAATATGTTTCCCCCATACCCTCATGATGATTTTACCACTTTTTATTTTTTTGTTTTTTGGGGGCCATACCCAGTAGAGCTCGGGACTTATTCCTGGCTCTGTGCTTAGGGTGAGCTCATTGGGTCATATGGTGTACTAGGGATGGAATCTGGGTCGGCCACATGCACAGCACCACTCTACCTATTCCACTATTGCTCTGGCCCCTGTGGATGCTTTAACAATGCCTTTGTCCTTGGTGTTATGATGTTTCTCTACTTTGTGGCACATGTAGATGTGTTTTTCTTCTTTGCTCAGGTTCCTTATTCTCCACATACACACTAAGATCTGACTGCCCAATTTCTTCATCTTTTTTTTTGGGAGGGGTACACTCACCAATACTCAGGAGTTATTTCTGTCTCTGTACTCTGTTATTTCTCCCATGGTGTTCTGGGGATCATATGTGGTGCCAGGGATAGAACTGGGGTCGGCAGCATGCAAGGCAAGTTCCTACCTCTTCTACTATCATTCTGGCCCTTACCTGGAGGTCTTAGAACTATTCCTTAGAACTATTTCTGGTTTCTCATCCATCCTTAGGGGGACAGGCTTGGAATTTCTTGCTCTTCTTCTCTCTGCTTCTTATTATGTCCTTCAGCAGGTATCATTCAACTGACCAGCACATTTCCTCCATCACATTTCTGATGGGTGTCTCTCAAGACTGTTACTTGTTGCGAAATGCTTTTGAATATAACCCCCATTGTGATACAGATATTGTGAGAGCTATTCATCCAGAGAATTTCAGATAGAATTGTCAGGCATGATAACTTGAATGTATCTATCTCATACTTTCAAGTGGAAATCCAAGTCTCTCAATTGTGGGAGCTGCTCGTTTCTTTGTAGAACAACCAAACACCTTCTGTGGCATTCGTTCCTGTTATCTCCAATGCAGGTTATCTGCCTTGTACCTTGAGAGTGATCGGGGTTCAAAATCCTAATTTATTTGAACGTGATGTGCAGGAATCACGTATGCCTTCATGGACAATACATTATCCGCCAAATATTCAGCATTTATTTCTGTAGGGAGCTGAGGAATCCTCCAACCTAGGACTACTTTAGCACCATTTCAGAAGTCTTGAGTTTCTTGTGGGGTGCTCAAAATGAGTTCCCCTACCTGGCTAGAAGTTCCAGCTAATCTGCACTGGCCCTCAAGGCAATCTCAATTAAGTGCCATTCTGGGCTCTGATGAAAGCTTGCTGCTTCTATTTGTAAGGCCCTTAATGACTTCCAAGTTATACCCCTTAATGAACTTTTCTAAATAGCAGGCAAGACCAGTTTCATTTTAGAAAACTAGATTACCTTTCTTAGCTTCTTTCCCAGGGAAGCAATTCCAATACAACAATATTTCCTGAAGGTGTGGCTTCCTACACAGAACAGTAGAGATTTTAAGCAAAATGGGAGCCTGGATAGTTTTAATGAGTAGTGACAATATCGAGTGGGCGAGCAAGGGGCAGGAAAATGCTGAATGTTCTTTTCCAGATGGAAGCACTGACAAGAGAATTGCTTCTGGAAGTTGGGCCTCTCACAGTGAAACACAGCTTTTTTTTTTTTCCAAGATGTTCTCATGAAACATTTGTGGAATGTGAAGACTATGTTGTGGAAGGACCCCCCAGAGAACATGGCCTTTGTGGAGATTTCTGCTTCTGGATAGTCATCTACAGTGCATCCATGCTTCACCTGCTTCTCTAAGAAGAAACAGAAAAGCTGATTTTCAAAAAGAAAACAGCAGTCTAATGAGAAGTGAGCATGGCCCCCAGAGCCTCTATAAAATCTTGAGAGACTCCCCGGGAAGATGGTTAAAAAGTGAAACTGGAAGTTCCTGGCCTCTCATCAGAGAGTTTTTGTTTCATTTATTTAATTTTTTTTGCAGTGGAGGAGATGAAAACTCAGTGTGGTTAAGGCCGTTCCAAGGACAGGTCCCAGTCAACACCCGAGGCTCTCAACTGGAATCCTTGAAGGGGCCACACTGAGGGAGGAATCGGGCAGAGACTGGATTCTTGCTGTCATCAGCACAGACCCCAAACCAACGAGACAGTCTTTCCTCACATCTTGTCACTTTTTTAGGCTCTATATTTGGATTTCTAAATCCCTTTCCTGGTTCTCAGGTCTGTACCCACCTGGCTGTGGCCTATATAACTCTTTCACCTCTCTGCTTGCTAACTTAGGTGGCCATTAGTCCCTTGCTCTACATGTCCTGGGCCTGGGATCTCCTTTAGCCTCCCGTATAATTTTTTTTTTTTTGCTTTTTCGGTCACACCTGGTGATGCACAGGGGTTACTCCTGGTTCTGCACTCAGGAATCACTCCTGGCGGTGCTCAAGGGACCATATGGGATGCTGGGAATTGAACTTGGGTCGGTCACATTCAAGGCAAATGCCCTACCCGCTGTGCGATCACTCCAGCCCCTCTCCTATGTAAAGCCTGTCTTTACCTCCTAATCTTAGGCTTTATCATGCTGCATGCTACCAGTCAAAGACTCTTTCCAATTCCTGTAGAGCTTCAAGTGAGAATTTACAAGGGGAGCTACTGGACTATCCTTAGTTATGGCCATTTTCTGGATGCCAGCTCTGTATGGGAGCCATGCAACACCCAACCAATATGAGTTGAGTAAATTAAGCTTGGGTGGACTAACACCAGCTTGGAACTCCTAATGTGGTGGTTAGTTGCAGATCCTAGATATGCAAAGTCCCCTCCAAATTCACTTATTGCTCCTATCTAAGCAAAAGATGGCGCTCTGAGGGCTCTTGGTTGCTGATTTGTGGTTATTTGCCTTGGCTCTCAATGTCCTGAATTATTTTTTCCTCCATGTTTAAATACTTCTTCCTTCTCAATATATATGTATTTGGGAGGAAGGGAATGACAAAGATTTCTTTGAACAAGTTTTAATGTTTAGTAAATGAAACACTTCCCTTCCATTCACATAAACACCACACTCCTGAAAAATAATTTTAATGGGTACTAAAAATAAACTTGAAATTTCCTAAATTGGCACTTTGCTTTTATAAGATGATCCTCCCAGAGTTTGCCCTTCCTGGTAACCTTCATTTCCTATTCAGCCAGTAAACCAAGATAGAAAATTTGATTCTATATTCTATATTCTATTAGAGTCTATGTTCTTGGGATGAATGGAGATGTTACTGCCACCCGCTCGAGTAAATCGATGAACAACAGGATGACAGTGATACAGTGATTCTTACATTCTACAGTGTGGAAATTGGAGACATTTGTGCATCATTGAGACTGATTTCTATTTTATTTATTTATTTATTTATTTATTTATTTATTTTGCTTTTTGGGTCACACCCAGCGATGCACAGGGGTTACTCCTGGCTCTATACTGAGGAATTACCCCCGGCAGTACTGAGGGGACCATATGGGATGCTTGGAATTGAACCCGTGTGCAAGGCAAATGCCCTACCCGCTGTGCTATTGCTCCATCCCCGAGGCTTATTTCTAGAAGAGTCAACCCAGTCCAACTGAGGGTTCATTATTCCAGACACTGTGTTTGTATACTCCATGACTGCACATGCTGTGTGCATCAACTCACCTCCCATTAAGTGACTTACCCGGCCGATTCTGCTTTTTAGCCTTTACATGGTTAGCTGCCGAAAGGGAATAGGATGAAGTGAAGGATCTGCTTTTGGTGAGGGTATTCATCACTGGGTTATTCCAAGAATCTGAACTTAGAGCACTGAGGAGAGAGAGAGAGAGAGAGAGGAAAGAAAAATGAAGAAATTATTTTCCAATGATTGGGGCAGATCTTGCCAGAACCCAAGCATCACTTTCCTAATAGACTTGTCACTAGTCATGGTTCAGGGTGAGTGACAAAACCAGTTCTTGACAGCCTAATGACAACACATATTGCTCTGGCTGAGTCTCCTCAGAGAAAGAGCAACTGCCCAGCAAGCAGAGTACATGGACACGGAGGAAAGAGAGCTCTTCATTTTATTCAGTTAGCAGGAATGCCAACACCGTCTCCTGAAATCCACATTTCTTATACAATGTTAGGCTGCATCTATCCAGGTCACTGGTATTTGTTATTTGTGGTTTATCATATGTTTATAAAATCTTCCTAAAAAAACTTTGCTGCATCTCCTGTGCAAGAAAATCTCGCATTATAATTTTAGCCTACTATTGCTTTCGTTGACAATACCCTGGAAAGACTGGAATCATGATCTAAATGTTGTAAGTAGATGATTAGTTTACCAACAGTGGTAAACAGATTGATATTAGCTACTTGGAAAAAAAGGTAAAAGGATCATCTTAATCCAGATGTTTATAGCGAGATATATTTGATCTTGACCGATCAGGTCTGCCTGTTAAATATGGAATTAACAGATCTCTGGAGGGTTGAACTGAAGAATCCTTCATAGCCATGCAATTAATGGCATATAACTTTTGGAGGTGCTCCAAACCAAAATTTCTCTGCATGCATTGCTCAAAACCCCACAAGTTAAATCTAAAACAGAATTCATCGTAATTGGAGAGAGAAAAGAATTTTGGAATCCATGTGTACAGTCTTGGACAGCTCCCAGGGAAAAATGCTTCTTCTGTGCTTTGCTAACACCTATGTGCTTTCAAGCATTCAGAAACTTGGTGCTGGGTAGAATTTGTAATTTGCTTGAGTATAATTTGACAGTTAGGCCCATAGGCTAGCACTGCGAACAAGATATACCTGGTCTGTCTGGGTGATTTATTGTACATAAATCTGAAATTGATGGAATTATGGGGTCATGAATGGGTGGAGATTGGCATGTAGGCTGTATAATTAATGAGGTATAATTTGGAGGTGTTCCATAACCAAAATGGTTTCCTCTCTGTAAGCAACATTATGCATGCATTACTTAGAATCGTGCATGGTAAATCTAAACCAGAGCATGTCTTACTGGGGAATAAAAGAAAGTTCAGTGTGCTGTGCAGAGTTTCAGAACTCTCAGAGGGAAAAATTCTGGGCATGTGCTTTGCCATTGCCTGTGTCTTCTGATTATTACTAAGTTCAGCAATAGGAAAGATCTATAATTTGTCCCGAATTTAATTCGATACCTCGATGCTTATGCTCCCTTATTCGTTCTACTCATTTTCATGAATCTTTCTTTAACTATTGATCTGGGTATTTTGTTTTTAATTTATACTTATTGAAACACCATCATTTACAAAGTTATTCATAATACAGTTGTTTCAGTCATAAAATGTTCAGGTATTTTATATTATTATTTTATTTTAATGTTTTTATTTGTTTTTTGTTTTGGGGGCCCCACTGGGCAGTTTTCAGGGATTATTCTTAGCTTTGCACTCAGGGATTACTTACTCTTGAAGGTACCCCAGGGATGCCACAGGGATTGAACCCAGTTGAGCTGCATGCAAGGCAATTGCCCTACTTGTTCTACTATATCTCTGGCCCCAATGTCCTGTCACTGTCACTGTCCTCCCGTTGTTCATCGATTTGCTCGAGCAGGCCCAGTAATGTCTCCATTGGAGACTTTGTTGTTACTGTGCTTGGCATATCAATACATCACGGGTACCTTGCCAGGCTCTGCCGTGCGGGCGAGATATTCTCGGTAGCTTGCTGGGCTCTCCGAGAGGGGCGGAAGAATCGAACTCCGGTTGGCTGCGTGCAAGGCAAATGCCCTACCGCTGTGCTATCGCTCCAGGCCCAATGTCCAGGTATTTTAAAACTACCTTATCTTCTCTATTGCTAGTAGCAGTTTACAAAGTCTATCACAAAAAGACACTTGAAAGATGGAGCTGGCTCTAGACATTCACTAAGTGCAATGGTGAAATGCACAGACAATAATCTGTGCATTTATTTATCACAATGTCTGGTTTATCACAAATGTCTGAAATTTTGAAACAGAAGAAAAATTTGAGCATGGAACTGATAACTATATATTTTTTTCTTAACTTTCAAGTACTTTTGCTGGATTAATCTACAAGATAAATTGTGAAGAATATCCATATATGATTTTGTTTTAATTTTTTGGGCCTTCCAAGTGGTACTTAAAGGGACGGGGTCTATGCCTGGGGATATTCAAGCAACCACGCAACCAGTACTGAGTGCTGAGGAGCTCAGAGATAATGTGCCCATCCCAGGGGTGCCTGGGAACCGCCAGATAACATCCAGCAATGCTCAGGGTCCTGAAGGCTGTTTCTGGGTTGGGTAGATACTAAGAATGTCCCCTAACTGCTGTGTTCTTCCCTGGTCCCCATGTGATCCATATGTAACCTAGACTTTAAAATTTGAGTACATAGCAGACTTCTATTTTTCTCTGTAAAGACGTAAAAGAATGATATTAAGTGTATTTATTTTTTTTGATATCTCAAATAGTTAAATTGTGAAAGTTAGCTCAAAATCCCCTACTGATTTTTATTTTTATATATTTTGGGGGTTTTGGGGGGGCAGTAGTGCCACATCTGGCAGCGTTTAGGGGTTACTTCTGGTTCTGCACTCAGGAATTACTCCCTGCAGACTCAGGGGACTATAAGGGAGCCAGAATCCCAGAATCCAACCCAGGATGGCTTCACACAAGGCAAGTGCCCTACCCGCTGTAGAGTCTTGCTACACCCTACTGTTGATTTTTTTAAGATAAACTATTTTACTTGGGACTGCTTAAAATTGACCAGTTTAACTATTGCTTTTTAAATAAAAACTTTTACTATGTTGAAAAGTTGTAGAGAATGCAACTGCAAGAAAAAATTCAATAAGTACATTTTAAGGTATATAAAATGAATTACCTTCATGATCAATAACATACTACTAATATATTTCATTCTTTATAAATTAAATTATCATAGATATTATTAACTAAATGGTGAATCAATTTGCAATAGAAATGAAAGCACCTATAATAAACAGATACTTTCACAGAGAGCTTTGTGTGATCCCAGCAATACGTATTTGGCTTTGCAATGGCAAAAATTCCTTTCTGGAATTCTATTCAGTTCTCATGAATATGCAAGGAAAATAGCTGGGAGAAAACTGTATTTGTTATTCTCCCTGTCCCAGCAGGCAAAATTTTATGATTTTCCCTTGAGGAGTCAACTTCTCTTCAGAATGAACTTCATTGATTTTATAGTGGTGAAAGCATTTTTTAATATGCAGATTTAGATCAAGAATTTTCATAGGATAATAAAATTAAGGAATAGAAAAGCAGTCAGTAAAGATTCCCTGAGATAATACATGAGTATTTTATTTTTTATTATTTTTTTTTCATAATTCACCAGTTCAACTTTACATATGAGTATTTTAAACACAAAGGGGATGAGTAGAATCATAGGCTATTTACTTAGTTTAAAATGTTAGAATATGTTTTTCTTCCCATAAAGAATGATAGTATTCTCACAAACAAACTTATATATATATATATATATATATATATATATATATATTAAAGTAAAGTAAAGGCCCTCCCGTTGATCATTGATTTGCTCGAGCGGGCCCAGTAACATCTCCATTGGAGACTTTGTTGTTACTGTGTCTGGCATATCGAATACTCTCAGTAGCTTGCCGGGCTCTCCGAGAGGGGCGGAGGAATCGAACTCAGGTCGGCCATGTTGGCTGCGTGCAAGGCAGACGCCCTACCTGCTGTGCTCACACCTGGCAATGCACAGGGGTTACTTCTGGCTCTGCACTCAAGAATTACTCCTAGTGGCGTTCAGGGGAGCATATGGGATGCTGGGAATCTAACCTGGGTCGGCCGCGTGCAAGGCAAACACCCTACCGCTTTGCTACCACTCCAGCCCACAAATTTCTATTTTTGAGAAACTTGTCCATCATGATGATTTAACGTCAGCCTCCAATCGTATTTAATAAAAATGGAAAAATAAAATATGACTAAAAAGAACAAATAATAATTGAAAAAATAAGAGATTTAAGAATGTAAGCATGAATTTTTGGTGGAGTCAATCTATGGAACAAAAATGATGGAGCAGTAACTGCATGGCAACAGAAATCTTGGCCAGTTGTGCTGGTAAAAGAGTAAATCTTCTAATGATATATAAACATATATATGTGAATATATATATGCATATACACACACTGAGGACATGGTTCTTTAACTGTGACACTATTCATTAGCACTTGTTGGATAATTATCAGTAACCACTATAGCAGGAATCAATAGAGGTCCATATCTTCAGAGAAAAATATTACTAATGCCTTGAAATTTCAAATTTTAGGAAGCGTTTATGAAACACATTTGGCTACAGCCTCTTGTAGGGGCATCTTAAAGTTTTACAAAGACCCAGGGATTACACATATATGAATCATCTAAATTTGCTTCTAATTCTAGAGTTTTGTTATATGAGGCATGCTAATTCTAAGGAATGCTATTTAAGACATTGTTAAACAAGAAAAAGTTATCAGTCTTTAAATTTCTACAATTTAAAAGGTTCCCACTTCTCTGCCAGTCTTAGAATGGGGCTTTTTTATGTGCAAAGTCAAGACCAAACTACTATCATTTCTATTATGGTTGTCATGTAGTTCAAACACTCTTTAAACTTTCAGTCATTAGATCATTAATAAAACTGATGACAATGCTTCAAAAACTAGAAACCACATGGCAAACGTTCATGTAACTAGTGAGCTCTCAGAAAGAGCATGCCATTTCATTCAGAAAAGAGCAAACACTGTAGCCCCTTGTCAAGGCATCTCTTTTGGGGTAACTTTTCTTTCAACACTCTTTCAGACTGTAATATTACCTTGTCCTTAGTTTGGGGAAATTTGGTATTTAAGTCACTTGGTAAATATCCTAAATAAAGATGAAATCACCAAATATTTCAACCTGCCCAGGTATTCAGAATGATGACTCACAATTTGATGTGCCCTCCTAATTTTCCAACAGTGTAAGGGAGCAGATTGGGTGCGTCAAAGGGAAGGCTAAGCATCCTCTGTAAATGTCATGTTGGCCATGTTGGATGTAAATCTCTCTCTCTCTCTTTTTTTCTTTTTGGGTCATACCCAGCGATGAATAGGGGCTACTCCTGGCTGATGCACTTGGAAATTACTCCCAGCGGGAGTATGGTTTGGGAAACCATATGGGATGCTGGGAATCGAACCCAGGTCGGCCATGTGCAAGACAAATGCCCTATCCACTGTACTATCACTCCAGCTCCGGATGTAAGCATCTCATCTCAGTGGAGACAAAATCGAGCCTATATTTATCCTGGGCTCAATGCCTTGGGAGTCACACTCGATGCCTCCTTATGGGTCACTCTCCTCACATTACGCCATGCAACACAAGTTAAACCCAATTATCCTATGTTGATCCCCTGTACCACTATGCCTTGGAGCCCCACAGCATTATTATTTGCAAAGATGCTCTTCAATCAACGGAAATAGGCTGTACCTTCCTTCTTTTGCCCTTGATACATTTTGGTAAGTCACATTTTGAAAAGCCACAAAAGCAATGGGAGCAGCCTCTGACCTGGATGAAGGCGCCTCATGCAGTTTGATACTGGCACTGCGGTCCCTCCGCACTGGGGCAGGCTCCAAGGTGGGCAGACCTGTGGCAGACGTGGTGGTGGTCCAAGTTGAGGAAACTCGTCTCAGTAATCCTGGGGGCAAAGTCCTTCTCAGGCGCTGGAAAGAGAAGTGCTACATTAATTTCTGGGATGACTTTCTATCACTAATGGCTGTGTCCTATAATAGAGGATTTGTATATATGTATATATATTTATATATAGAATAAAAATATTTGTATTTATATATAAATACTATAATGTATTTCTATTTGGAAGAAAATTTGTTCAACTATATTGGTTACGTATCACCTATTTGAAATTTAGGTACCCAGTAATTTAATGAAAGACTCTGTGGCCCAAAATGAATATTATAGAAATAATATTCTGGGATCTTTAGTTCAGTGCTTATACAATGCAGAATTATTAGTCAATTACTTCAGATAATTTTTGTTGTATTAGTCCAATAGGATTCTCAGACTGATAAGTTTTAGTCCCTAAATTAATGTTCATTATGGGCAGAGTAGATTATTAGTTACACTGGGTAGAATATTCTCTCAAAAGTCACTCATTTGGGGTGTGGATTCACTTTTAACATTATGCACAACAATCTCTACACCAAAAGTGTTTATTGCTTTAATTTTGATCTCTGGTTTTGAAATGTAAGAACAAAAATTTAAGAGTATAACTCATAGAACACAGCGATGAGGCAAATCTCACTAAGATAACAGACACATGGGTGATACGTGAAACATCAAATCCTTTTAATAGGGGAGAGAAGAATCTGCTTGGACATTTTCAACCCTCTTTGGTCTCCTGCCCCCACAGCCTAGTCAGTGAATGTGGAACTACTGACACAGAGGCAGGATTCTGGGCTCCCGGGATGAGTACCAGCACTCCAAAGGAAATGGCAACTGAATACAACCAGAGAAGTGGTTTCAATATATTCAGTCCATTTGGGTTGTGGTACAAGAAGTACAAGCCACTTCCTGTATGCTACCTACATCTGCTGCAGAACAAACACACATTCTGCTCTCCTGAAGATGGTACAAACTTGCGAAGGGACACTGAAGAATTCCTAATACTCCTCAAATATCTGAATATATACCATGGAAGCGGGAGGGGGTGGGGCCAGCTCAGGATGTGTCAGGAATCTCACACACTGGTATGGAGACCTGGAAGAATTGGTCCATCTCCCTCTCTCCACTGCTCTGCTGTCTTGGATTGTTTCAGGAAAGCACCTGTTGGCAGGGAACTGCAAATACCTAATTGCTGAAGCCAGGTGAGGAGCATATTCTTGGGACAAGAGGCTCTTGATGTTATGATGAACAAACGGCCTGGGAACATGTTTCTTAAAGAGAGGAGAGTTCTGGAAGTCTCTGACTAAATGCCATGGGCATCCTTTAGAAAATACTGCTATCCTCAGGGTTTTTTTTGTTCAGTATTGAAGATGATTTGTTTTCAATCAATACACAACTCTCATCTGGGTGCAGAATCCTATCCTTTAGAGCTTACTTTCATAAATCTCATATTCTTCATGTGAAAAAAATGAACCAAATCAACAAATACATAAAGTAATTTTTCTTTCAGTCAACTAAAATTTTTTGGCTTTGGGAAAGCTCTGAGGTTCTAGTGAAGGGCACTATCTTAATAAATTCAAAAGGCCAAGCAATCTTGCCATATAGATGGAACTGGGTTTTAAGCAGAATCCACACAGAATCCACACTAGCATGGGATGGAAGAGTTTCACCTCTTTTATTTCTTTTTTTTTTTAACTGATAAATTCTTTCTATAAAACAAAGTCTGGCACGAGGAGTAAAACTTTAATGTACATTACTTAGAAATTTTGTACATTAATAAGTAATGTACATACATAAGTAATGTACATTACTTAGAAATTTTATTCTAAATTTTATTTCTTTCTAAATGGGCTGGAGCGATAGCACAGCGGGTAGGGCGTTCGCCTTACAAGCGGCCAACATGGCCGACCCGAGTTCGATTCCTCCGCCCCTCTCGGAGAGCCCGGCAAGCTACCGAGAGTATTCGATATGCCAGACACAGTAACAACAAAGTCTCCAATGGAGACGTTACTGGGCCTGCTCAAGCTCGAGCAAATGTTATTGAAAGTCTGAAACAACAAGGTAATGTAAGGGCTGGTCATGGAGCTTAGTGGTTGAGCCTTGCCTGCCTGGGTTGCATCCCTGATTACAATCCGCTTTCTAAGTAAAGGCATTTTACTTTATTTTATTTTAAATTAATTTTATTTATTTATTTATTTGCATTCTGTATCACACCCAGCAAGGCACAGGGGTTACTCCTGGCTCTCACTCAGGAATTACTCCTGGCGGTGCTTGGTGGGGCATATGGGATGCTGGGAATCGAACTCAGGTTGGCCGCATGCAAGGCAAGCGCCCTCACTGCTGTGCTACTGCTCAAGTCCCAGTAAAGGTATTTTAAAAGTGCAGATTCTTTACTTTAAAAGTGCAAGAGATCAAGGATCAGGAAAGTTTTTAGAACTGTAGTTGGTCACTGAGCTCAGCAGCCCTTCCATGACCAGCTGATGGGCACATTGGCTAGCTGTGCCAAGGACCTTTGAGAAAGCTCAGTCCCCACCAGAAGGAAGGGGTCTTGGAGACTCACCTTGGGAATAGCCAGCTTGTCCTTTTCGGTCTCTTCGGAGTCAGAACAGGTGTAGGTTTCACTGAAGGAGACGACGGGGTTCACTCTGGGCTTGTGCAGGGCCGTGAAAGTGAGTTGGGTGCTGAGCAGGTTGCTCACGGCCCTCAAGGATGTGCACACGTTGGGGGGCAGGGAAGGGTCCGCCAGGAGGTCCGTGATGAGGCCGTGAGCCTCGCCCATCACTGCGATGTCCACGGTGATGCTGGTGCCTGAAGACTGAGACACAGACAAAACAGCGGTCAGAGCACAGGAGAAGAACTCCGGATGCAGAGAGTGAAGCAGGAAAATCTCTAGCAAAGAAACATATGGCTGACTGCAGGACAATAAAATTCCAACCATGCTTGTTTCATGCTTGGCTCACATTTGCCAGGACTCTCGCCATTTCTTTTTCTTTCTATTGTTTATTTATTTTTTCTGCTTTTTGAGTCACACCTGGCGATGCACAGGGGTTACTCCTGCTGGTGCTCGGGGACCATATGGGATGCTGGGAATTGAACCAGGGGTGGCCCCTCGCAAGGCAAACACCCTACCTGCTGTGCTAGCACTCCAGCCCTAACTCTTGCCATTTTTGTATTCAAGGGAGATTTAGTTACTAACGCTGGAAATTCAGTGGTTGAGTTACTAACGGTGGAAATTCAGATGGGGGTGGGGGACACATTTGAAGACATGAAAAAAGATGCATATTTGTTTGCAAAGGGCAGGATGTTTTAGATAGGAAAAAACTATCAGCCATGGTGATTGAAGCGAAGAGCTCAGCACTTGAAAGTACGTCATTTAGAAATTTTATTCGAAAAGTAACATTAATATAAAATTTTAATTTTAGTTATAGTTTCTTCTCCTTGACCAACTTGAGGGTTAGGGACACTGATAACACCATCCCAGAGTCAAAAATCAAATGATAACTTTTGATCCCTCCAGGACTTTTCTGGGCTAGAGCGATAGCACAGCAGGTAGGGCATTTGTCTGTATACAGCCGACACGGCCAACCTGAGTTTGATTCCTCCACCCCTCTTGGAGAGCCTGGCAAGCTACTGAGAATATCTTGTCTATGTGGCAAATCCTGGCAAGCTCCCTGTGACGTATTCTATATGCCAAACACAGTAACAAGTCTCACAATGTTACTGGGCTCGCTCGCGCAAATCCATGAGGACAGTGACAGTGACGGTGACAGGACTTTTCCACTAATCTGTTGGCCTAAGGTCTTTCTGATAACATAAACATTTGATTAACACACACTTTGTATATGACACACTTCGTATATAACAATAAAGCAAACTAGAGAGAAAAAATGTTATTAAGGAAACATAAGGAAGAGAAAATACTTCTATAGTATTAACTGTACTTATTGAAAAAAGTCCACAAGTAACTGGACCCAGCTGGTTCAGTCAAAGGGTCAACTAACCTGACCTTCATTCTGACTTTTGAGCACTGAATTTGTAAATTATTCAATTAATGTAAGAGATAGGCCCGCCCGCTCCTCTCTGGAAAGAAAGATGGCGGCCGCACGGGAGCCTTGTGGAAAGCGGGTTTGAGCCGGGCTCGGGGGAGCGGCGGGGACCTCATGGGAAGGGGGGCTTTGTGGGCCGTCCCCCACGCCCCACCGAGGTCGCCAGCTGCCCCCCACGAGCGGCTCTCCGGCACGGCCACGACTCCAGGGCACAGAAACCAATCTCTTAACTAGCTAACTTTTAATAAAAATTCTTCCAGGGTCAATAAGTAAAATAGCAGAAATTCAAAACCGCGCGGCTGCTATCGCGGCCGTGCGACATCATTTTATTCTTAAACCAAGTTGTAGAAAGCAAATCATTTCACAACGCTGTTTCAGCATGTCTGATGGGGGGGGGGGTGGGTCGTAAACTCTAAACAATAATTGTGCATCTTCTATCGAAATAATCTATCTAGTCAAAGTAGATAGAGTATTAACTAGAACTCATCTGCCTCACAAAGAATTGGGAGGGGTGGGAGGTGGGGGTCTATTGGGGTTCGGGGTTAAAAATGAGTATTGGTAAAGGGAAATGTGTTTGGTATCTACATGACTGAGACCTAAACCCGAAAGCTCTGTAACTTTTCCCACAGTGATTCAATAAATAAATAAATTATAAAAAAAAAAAAAGAGATAGGGCCTGGAGCGATAATACAACGGGTAGGGCATTTGACTTGCACGCGGCCGACCCGGGTTCGAATCCCAGCATCCCATATGGTTCCCTGAGCACTGCTAGGAGTAATTCCTGAGTGCAGAGCCAGGAGTAACCCCTGTGCATCGCCAGGTGTGCCCCAAAAAGAAAAAAAATGAGATAAGCCACTCTCCTCCCCCTCCCCCCAATAACTCAATCTATATTTTAAGCCACAAATTGTCCCTCTTCATGGCTGGAATAAAAATTAGAGTTCTGGAATTCCCAGACATACCTCTCAGATTCTTCCAAACTGGCTATGATTTGAACATTTAATCATTATCTTGAGAGAGACTTAAAATAAGCAGATATGAAAAAATAAAGTGCATATAATCATAAGAGTACTAAAAGAAGATATGAAAAAAAATTCTTGTAAGCTTGGAACTAGAAAGGTCATTAAAGTATAAATGTAGAAACTGTCAAGGAAACACTGACCAATCCAGTAAATGAAGGCATAAGCATCTACTAAGAAGATAGGTTATTAGCAAAGACTTAGAAAACGTTAAACATTCTCTGAGAAAGTAAGACAAAATGTGTCCAAATAAAGAGTTTGAAAAAAACCAATGGACCAACTGGGATAAAGGAAATAGATATACATTTAAAACACAATGTAAAAAATATTTTTTCTTACTATTTATAAACACTATTTATTTGTGTCCATAATAAAAATGCATGTTGACATACTACAAAAAACTTTTACTCTTCAAATGACAAAGTAATACAAGGCTAATTGTACCCAGTATTAGTAATTGATTGAGAAAATAAACAGTGATAAAACAAACAGTCCAATATTTTGGAGTGGAAAATATAAATGTATCCGTTTACTTAGATGTGTACTATGTATATTTACATAGTATAGAATGGTGTGTTTATCACACATGTATCTACAATTGTCAATTAAAAAATTGTATGAGAAATGCCACCAAAGTAGGTCTAGTTTCCCATTTTTAGAAACATGTATTTTCCAGTGCATTTCTACTGTGCTTCCAGGGTCCTGTGTTTAATCCCAGACACTGTAAAGGCCACTGAGAAACTTTGAGTGAGTCCTTCTCTCCCTCAAGCCACCAGAGTGATGTTCAGAAGGCGATACTCATTTCATCTATTTATTAATGTTAACAAGTCACTGTGTTGATTTCATGAAAAACAGCACTTTCAACAAACTTATTTTTTTTCAGGATAAAAAATTTTCAGATTTTTGAGAGAAACTCAAAAAGTTTGTATGCTAATAAGAGACTTCCTCAAATGCTAGTACAAAACAGTTCACAAATCTGAAGAAAAAGTAGGATATCTTTATTAGAATAATTTTCAAATAAAGTATTGGTGAGAAATTAAGTAATTTAAATTCATAACAGTTTTATGACTTTATAATAATTCATTCTCTCTCCTTCAACAGTTATTGTGTATTTCTTATACACTACAAAGCAAATGAGACCTTCAAAGTAACATTAATAGGAATATATCTGAAAACTCATCTTTTTTAAGTCAATATTATACAAAAATTTAGAAAATAAGCATGTTATGCACTTCAAGGTACGTAGCTGTTACAATGCTATACCATTTACTCATGCTGTTGCTTTTATGAAAGCAAAAGTCTTCCAGCAAAAAATCAAAACAACTTAAACCAAGAAGCAGAGGGACTGTGTTTACTGCTAACGTAGCTGTCTTATTACTTTAACTCCAGCTTCTGCTTTATCAGTTTTCGGATTCAAGAACAGGATTATAAAACAGTGAATATCACTCACAGTTAAGAAACTATCACCATTGTCTGGATCAAAAACTAAAGGCTTCAGGGGTTGGCGAGATAGTACAGTGGCTAGGGCACTGGCCTGGCATGTGTCCTTGCTGGGTTTGATCCCCATCACCCACTATGGTCCTCTGGGCACTTCCTGAGATTCCTGAGTACAGAGCCAGGAGGACCTCCTGCGCATTACAGGTTGTGGCCCCCCAAACAAAACAGAACAAATCAAATCAAATAATAACTAAAGGCTTCAGTGAGGCATGAAATCTAAAACCAATCAGATTTGTCTGCCACAAACTCACCAACACTAACCACACGTGAACTGTTGGCAGACAGAGAGACACGCTCCTCTTTCCACAGGAGCAGACAAGCTCTAAGGACGAGGCACATGCAAGGTGCCAAGGACCTCGAGGGGGGTGGTGGCGGGAACAGTGTGGGGGGTGGGGAGGATTACGGTAAAGTTTTTCTGGAGGTTGGTACTTTCCCATCGTATAATCCAGAATATGAAACAAAGCAGTGATTCGCACAGAGTGTTTTTCCATACCTACTCTACCAGAAAAATAAACTCTAGTTCTACCAAATAACACTTCTTTGGCTGGTAAAATCTTAGATTGTGATAATCAATAGAAAAGGCCAAGTTGAAATCAAAGCTACAGGGAAGGAAAATTTTAAGCTAATGGCCTGAAACCATCTTAGAATGCCGAGAGGGGCTGGCTGGATTGAGCATAAAAACACCGTCTAAGTCTTTTACTGTGTAACTAAACAAACTAAACAAAACCTTTTCTTAAAAAAGATGGTGGTGGTGGGGGCGGGGGGGGCGGGGTCATGCAGCATAAAACATCCTCCTTTGCAAGCTCTTCTAAAATAGAAATATTTATGTTCAACAGTTAAGAAAATACAAGTCTAATTCCCTAGACACTACTTAAATAGGAAGCCAATGTGGATTGCTACCTTTAAATAGAAAATCTGGAATTTAAGTCTGATAAACAACAAAAGAAAGTGCTATTTTATCATCAAATCCAAGAAGGCTGATTCTCTTGATAAGTCCTCCACTTTCCAAAGCACGCAGGATTTGAAAAAAATCTTTCCCTCCTTCATTTGACTTCATCTCCCAAGATATTCTACCTGCTGCCAATTTAGACCCTCACAAATGCCACTCACCCTCCTGTAGCATTATCCATATCATTTCTGACTTCTATTAGCCGAAAATCAGGCCCAGAGCATGCAGAGTCACAGAGAAGTTAAAGGCAAGACAGATATGCATATGACAACCAATACTGGTCAGATCACCTAGATTAGGGATGCAC